TAAGCTCATAGTTTCGTAGACAAATGTGTACATAATGTGTGCAGACGTGAGCCTCACGCTGGCGTCCTAACTTCCCTTGAATGTAGCCAGTTTACAACTTTGTGTAGGTTGCTTCAGTATGGATCCGAGCCTGGTTTAGGTGCGGTATAAAAATAATGTTAATGTCCTGAACGACAAACAGTTCTAACAGTACATGTGTAATAATTTGAAATGTATAAAGGTACTTTTAAGACCAGAAGTCTATCGTGGGTAAGGGGACACTACACGAAAATTTATTTTTTTTTTTTTTTAAATTTACGAAGTTAGAGCAATTATTTTAAAATGGTCGTTTGTATACATGTTTTACATTTGCATACTTTAAGTGTTAAAAAAAAAAAATCATCGTTTTCATGGCAAAAGCCGCTATCTCGGGGGAAAAAACATGTACTTAGAATCCTTAAATTTTACTTAAAAAAAAAAAAAAAACATACGTATTAAACAATAAATGATAGATTCATGAACTCTAATTCTATTTTATATAGGTTCAAGTCCTTACGTCCTTTTCAGGACGTAATTTTTTGTTATTTGAAGCCCCAATCTGGCTTTTTCCAGGGGCCGCAATATAGGCAGGCCATAAAAATAGCCAAATGTCTGAACGCGGTTTCTGGGACCTCTCCACGGTGATCCTCATCCACATGGTGGCACGTTGTGTCATCGGGTGTTTATCGCTTGTGTGATGTCCTAGTGGGGTAGAAAGTCACTCACTCACTCAATCCTATTTAGAAGTACAGGTATAGTTTATCTACTTTAAACGTGTTTTGAAATATTTTTCGTAGAATTTTAAAATGTAGGTACATTGAAAAAGTCAAAAAAATCTTGCATCATAAGAAAATAATCACATTTTTTAAAACAAAAACCTTCTAAAATTTACTTTAAAAAAAAAAACAGTCCTTATAGAATTGTTTAGTAAGTATGCATACTAAATTTCATGTTTCTAGTTTTTATATTAGCTGAGATTTAAGGATTTCACACACACAACAAACATAAATATAGGTATGTGAGAAAACTGACTTTTAAATTTGTTTTTTTTAATCTTAAAAAAGTGCAAGGGTTGGTGATTTTAGTATGAACTTTTCAATGCTAATTTGTTTACAAATGACATACATTTTGTGTGTAATCTATTTTACGAATGCCGAACTTTACAAAAACGAACACATTGAAAAGGTGATATTTTTGTCATAAATTGGAAAAAAAATGCCTTAAATGCACTAAGTCGATTCATACCTATTTTAGAGAAGGTGTGGGGTCAGAAAATCAATAGCACTTTTTTTTTTTGAAAACGGGGGAAAAGGAAATGGGGGGGGGGGGGGGGGGGGCGCTCAAATAATGTAAATCCCTAGGTTCTAGTATCCGTTATAATAATATTAATAATATTATTAATAATAATAATGTCCTGAATGGCAAAAAGTTATAACGATATACATGAAAAAATATAAATTGTGTAAAGTTAGCTGCCTATCTCTTAAAGGACACTGCAGACCCAACCCCAGCATTAAGTTCAGTAGTTTGCCACTGGCCACTGAAGGGTCACCTGTCGGTATTACTGATGAAACCAATGCAAGACAAATCGACCGCAACTGGGATTGAACCCGGCATCTCGGCATTATAAAGCTAGTTCGCGATGCCTAAGCCACAGATGCCAAAGAAATGTTTAAACAAATAGAGAACGTCTATATATGGCTAGGGCAGCGGTTCTCAACCTGTGGATCGTGACTCATTTTTGGGGCTGATCGACCCTTTCACAGGGGTCGCCAAAGATCATGGCAAAACATACATTCATTAAAGTTATGACGTAGAACTGTATTAAAGGGTCACCACAACATGAAGAACTGTGTCAAACGGTCGCCACAACAAGAAGAACTGTATTAAAGAGTCGCCACAACATGAGGAACTGTATTAAAGAGTCGCCACAGCATAAAGAACTGTATTAAAGAGTCGCCACAACATGAAGAACTGTATTAAAGAGTCGCCACAACATGAAGAACTGTATTAAAGGGTCGCCACAGCATGAAGAACTGTATTAAAGGGTCGTGGCATTAGAAAGATTGAGAATCCCCTGGGTTAAGAGGTCGCTCAGCCCTTTTATACATTTTATTTTAGCAGGAAAGGGTTTGAGCTCCCCTATCTTTTTTCAGGAGGTTGGGGAGGGAGGGGGGATCCCATGAAGTCTTTTTCTTCTTTTTTTGTCTTCATATGCTTTTAACTTCGGGGAAAGGTTCTGGTTGTTCGTCCACTTTTAAACTTTTATCTTTATCCCAGAACTTGAGTTTTGTGTTACACCCTAGGTCCCGAACCCTTGACATATTATATAGAAACCAGCCTAAAAATGTGGAAAGGGAAAAGGAGAAGAAACAAAAGAAATGAGATGCATCTTACCATCTTTCAAACTCTCTCCTTTCTTCTCAAACTTCATTTTATGAATGTAGCGCAGTACGACCCGGTGCATTATGGCCTGGAAAGA